AAGTTTGCAGCGTCCGGGGTCACCTTGAGCCGCGACGGCTGCTGGCTGGCGATGCTGCGGCGGCCCGAGGGTCAGGCGAAGTCCAGGGTGGCCAGAGGATGCCAGAGGGTTGCAAGCAGAAGTGGCGGGAAGACATTTCATAGTCTGAAGCGAGCTCTGGGTTTGATGTTTTGATCACTGCCAACACCTAGCCAGGATATATACCTAGCCAGGATATATACTGTATATGTATATATATATATAAATAGATAAAGATACACAATATACACTAGATGTCTCTTTGCTAGGACCGACTGAGCGTGTACAACGCGGAAGGCAAGTTCGGGTGCCTGACAGATGCTTGGCAGCGAGACGGGGGCCTGTTTCGTTTGCTGGTGTAGCCTGGTTATGGTGTGGCCCCGTCAGAAGATCTACCACAAAGCACGCCAGAGCGCTCCAATAAGTTGGATGCTCCAGTACAAAGCATCCTTTGCATCATCTCAAGTTCGATCACCGCCTTTGGACCTTCTCAGAAGAATGCGTATCTCGTGCGCCTAAAACCACTTCGCAAAAGGCTATGTGGTCTTGCAAGGTCCGGTGTGCTCAACTTATGGGTTGTTGGGCCCTCCCAAAGTCAGCAAGTCTATCCTCCTTATGGAGTCCCCATAGGTTGTGCCTTTCGTCTCGAAAGGCGCCTGGCGCCCCTCACAACTCCCAGACGAGCACGTCTCGCCTTAGGATGTCACCTTGTCCGGCGATGCGGGGCAACTGCATTGGGGACCAGATGACTCTACGTTGCTCGCCCAGGGCGTCGACTCCGGATGCACCGGAGTGGAAAGGGGTACAATCATCCTGACTGTCATCCTGAAGTAGATCGAATTAGGGAAAATCCCCAAAAACAATATTAATCGGAATCTGACCCCTTTTTTTTGGATTGGTTCATTTTCTCTCTTGGGTCCCTCCGTCGCATCCGATCCCCATGGTGGCGTCGCGGCCATCTTTTCAAGAGAACTTCAGCATGGTGGCGTCGCATGAGATTGGCAGTTTGTGGACGCTTGTGTGTCAAAAAAATGCCGAGAAGGCTCATGATTTCGGCAGACACACCAAAAAGACCATCCCCAAAACCCAGACCAACGTGGGCGGATCTTCCAGGAGCCTTCTCCTACCTCCTTTGGAGCCTTCGAGCTCGCTCGACCGGAGCCTCGACCGTGTGTCCAAGGCTGGTGCTGTGCGAGCTTCCGGGTCGACCTCCTTGGTGCCGGCTGCATCTTGGGCGGGACAGGAGACGGAACGTCTTGGGCTTCCCAAGGAAGCTGTGGTTTTTGGGACAAAAGAACTCAGAATCTCGATCAAGTGATGGGGAAAGCATGTGACACATGCTCAGTGCAGGCCACAGCTATTCCGACACATAATATAATTAGGCTTCCATTGACACGTTTCGACGTTTCGACACTTGTAGCTCGTTTCGCCGCCGCTGTTCATGTGGATCAGGTGCATTTTCTCAACATTGTGTTCCTAGTAGCTTCTTGTTACTGCTAGTAAGGCACTTGTTACTACTAGCGTGGCACTTGTGACTAGTAGTAACATTATGTTCTGACATTTTGCTCACCATCTTCTCAGGATCATTTCAATCATTTCCTCTCTGTCGTTCACGCACAGTCAGCTTGTACGTAAGTACATTCAAGTGTTCAAAGTGCACACTCTGAGCATGCCCCTGGATGCTCTGGTCCAGAACCGAGGGGACTTTCACTACGAGCAGCCTGAGGTATGTTCACCATAAATGTTGAATGGCTATGAATGGCTCTCGGATATCTTCGGTCCAACTCCGTTTTGTTGGCGCAGCTCGAGGTATTCATTGGCAGGTGAATGCTTGGCGCAGCTCGGTGATGGTTTCCCAAGGTGTCTGAGCAGAATGTCAGTCGGGGGCCGTTCAAGACCAGACCAACAGCATGCCAGCAGGGGCAGGTAGCACCCTGCCATCCGAAGCTGAACTTGGGGCCTTCACTTGTAGTGCCTGGATGATGGCATTGTGATTTCTGGCATGGTCAGTGCTCATGAATCCCGCGTCCCGCTACTCCTGACCGCGAGTGTCGCAACTTCTGACGGCTTAAGCTTAAGTTAAGTGTCCCTAAAAGCCTAGGAACCAAAGCATCAGTAGTGTGAGCACTTCTTCCCAAAACTCCTTCTGGCGGTTTCTCCCCTTTCCTCGAGGGGCGACCGGTGTTGGGCTCGGCCCGTCCGCCGAGCGTCGCGGATTCGCGGATTCGCGAGAGGTCGGTCTCCGTGTCATCTTCCACGCAGTTGCTGGTGGGATGTGGCATCGATGGGCAGCTGCAGTTGTACCCTGGCAATGGTTTGACACGATGTTCTCCACTGAAACGCGTTCTTTTTCTCAGTTCCGGAGGCTTCTTAGTGCTCGCCTTGACTGGGTGACTGGGCCTGGGCTTCAACGTTGAAAGATCCTCCCTGCAGCAAACACCAACAGAAACACGATGGTGTCACACATGGTGCATTCTGCTGTATGATAGGGAGAGTGGATTGTAGCAGCAGATGCCCAAATGCATCAGTTGCAACTTGCTGCTGCGCCTCACTGCTTGAATGAGGTTGAGTGCTGTCAGCAGGAGGGTCATTGCCAACTTCTCCCACGCCGCTCGCCAGCCGAAGAAGTTGTGGCTGGTTGTGGGCCATAGCTCAGCACCACAAAGAAAGATATAGCACAGAAATTTATAAGATCAGATGGGGTAAATGTATGTAGATGAGCTCAGACGAACATCCTAAAGATCGACCAGTCTGCCCTTTTTTTTGTTCGCAAGCGCGTTCTTCTACGGCGGAGGGGGCCGGCCTTGGTGGCCTCAAGGCACAGAAGAGCGTGGGAGGTTGTGGTGCTTTCCCTCCCTCTCCCTTACCCGTCCACACCATAGAGGGCCTTTTACTATAGGTTGCCCCCCCAAGTCTACAACCAGTTACCTGGCACTGAGCCCTCGATTATTCCCAAAAGGGCGTTATTTGCTCCACACCCAGGCAAGGAAGGACATTTCAGGGGTATTTGCGCATGTGTAAGGCAGGGTTCCTGTAACTAATCCAAGGCGTGACAGACCCGGTGCCGTAGTCTGTTTTCGTGCAGCCCAGCCCCTCAAGGCCAAGTCCGAGTGCGACAAGGCCGAGGTTGGCAGCCATGGTTTGCGTGGCCACTTGCGTATAGGCTTGGCAGAGGCCTTTCTACAAGCAACTCTGGAAGAAGGAACGGGGACCAAAAATTGGGACCTCCTGATCTCCCCGTTAGAAATACCAACCCAAATGGCTGGGAGGTGGGCACCTTGACCAACTCGTGGTGTGCGATGGACTGCGTGCAGGTCTCCTTTTGGGAGGAAGACTTTGAGATGAACGAGCCGGGGGGGTCTCCGCTACCGACGCTTGCAGGACTGTGGGCTGTGGCATGGCTCTGGGGTTTTCTGGGCGGGGATTGAGGAGCTAGTCTTCCCAAATTGAAACTATATACAATTGTCATATTCAATTTCTCTTTTTGCGTGTGCTGAAGGCTGCTTTGCACGGGCTGCAGGGGCTGCATGGGTATGATCACCTGCATTTCGGTTCAAACGCAGGAGGCTGCAGCACGATCGATCGTTTGAGGCCATAGCAGCCAAAAACATGGCGCGTGGAGGATCCCAACTCTTGAGCATAGCCCTACTGAGCCTGCTGGCCCTTTGCGCCTGGGTGCCTGCATTCATCTCCAGCAAAGTGCAAGTCCCTGCAGCTGCGGCAGCTGCAGCTGCGGCTGCTGCCGTGCCATTGCCAGCCCTGGCGGGTGAGCCTCCAAGTGTTGGCATCCATTGGTACTGGGACCTGGGCATTGGAACACTCCACGGTGAGACTGCCAGCATTGTCATGATGGTCGTCTTCGTCACCGTCGTCTTTGCGCTGCTGGGCGCTGGCGGTTCTACTAGAAAGGCATGAGTGCAACAAATCAGTGGCTCTCTTTTTCACATCTTTCCTCGAGTGGCGTGAAAAGAGTCGGCGCGAACCGGGTCAGTGGTGGATGTCGTTTCGTAGCGAATTGGAGTTTGCTGTGGGGAAAGACAATGAAAGACATGCACATCAACCAGTCGGCGATTCGTGAGGACTTCCCAAGTCTGGATGAACGGCTGGGGCCAGACATCTTGGATGCTGATGGCATTCCCAGGCGAAGTTCGCGATTCGATGAGGTTCTTGTGGGCATGTCCAGTGTGACACAGGATTCCGGTAGAGTGTAGAGCCTAAAAGACAAGTAGGGGAAGTGCTGACAGAAGTACTTGAAGTTTTTGGTGCCACCTTCACTGGAATCAGCTCATCCACCCCCATCGGTCCTTTTCATGATGGTGCGGACGTTGTCGGCTGATTCGCTGGCCGATGGCGCACTCACTAGGCAGGGCATCACTTCTGCTCAGTGGAGCCCGGACGAACGCTACCTGGCGACGAAGCATGAATCCTTTCCAAGCTCTTTGGCCCTAAAGGCTTTGCCGGGACGAAGAGCCTTTCCAAGTGAAGCGGGCGGATTTGGGAATCGTTGGCCGAAGAATTTTTACCGGGCTGACATTGGCTATTGGTGATGCCCAGTAGTCTCTGACCGATCTGAAAGGAAAGAGGAGAACATGCACAGGCTTTTGGTCTTCAAACGAATTGATTGGCGGATCGGCACAACCCCCAAGGGGTCTATAATGGTCTATATAATAACGATCTTTTGGTTTCTTTTGGGGATTGTGTCATTTATCCCGAAACCACCGTAACGGTCAGGTGCTTTGAGAAATCCATCTCACAACATACCCGATCTCTAAGGAGACTCTTGGACTGCCTTTCCAAACTGCATGGTGCTCCGAATGATGGAATCTACTGTAATGGATTGCTGGACTGCTTTTGCCCCGCCCTATCTCCATGCTACCTTTTTCCCCCCGCGGAGCCGCGGTTCTTGCGTAGCGATCAAAAGGCTTTCGATCGAGCCTTTGTCTGGGTGCCCAGGCGTCGTCTGGATTTGGGACTTGGGCCGCATGGCCTTGAAGTCGCTGCTGAAGCACCAATCCACGGTGAAGTGCATGGCCTGGGACCCGGCCGCTCGCGGAGAGCTGAGCCGTTTGGCCCTGAGTCCGGGCGACCCAGTTTGGGGTCTGAAGACCCAGATCTTTCCGACACCGTGTGGCCAGCTCCGTGCCATGAAACACCTTTTTTTGACAGACCGGGTTGCCTACTTCCCACGTACCATCCGATGCCGCCGCCCGTGCGGTCCGGAGCGGATCGCGGTGGGCCGCGGTGTGGCCGAGGCACCTCAGATCCGGTGCTCTTCTTTTGGTCACCTGGGCAGGCTGAGGCACTGCCTTGCGCGCTGTCGGCGGCCCGGCTGCGCTGGCGAGCGGATGGGCGCAGCCACTCGGCCGGAGGGGTGAGAGGTAGAAATGATGGGGGTTGGAGTGCCAGAAGCGGGTTGGAGTGGAGGCTCTTTCATTTTGAGCCTCAAGCGGTTCCAGTGCTTGAACAAAAATACTAGTTTGGCTTTCAGCAATTACTGTGATGATTCCATGCTGCAGAGCTTCCACCCGTTGGATGGATGGACGTGTTGTTTGGATGGGCACATCAGCAAGGGGCACAGAATGGGACCGGTGGCCGAATGGTACAAGAATCTGGTCTTGGTTCAGATGGTCATTGAGTCATGCCCACCATATCCCACCATGCCCCTCCGGTGCCATGTCAGTGACGTTTCCCGATATTGCGGAGTGAACATTGACATGGTTCCTGCTTGTTCGAGGCCTTTTGCTCCAAGAGAGGGACCGATGTTGCGCCTGCCGATTGGGGAGTGCAGCGCGAAAACTTCCGCGTCCATGCCGCGTCCGGCGACCGGCGTGGCGGCATACAGAAGCCTCAAGCGTAACGCACCTTCTTCGGGGGGCTTGCCTGGGTATGTTGGGGCACCTCACAGACCTCGCCCTCAAAAACTACCTGGTTGAATGGTTAGTCATGGTCCGGTTAGTAGATGAACATCAGCAGCAGCGTGGACTCTTTTCACGAAAGCTAGCCTCAGCTAGCTGGAGTTACTCTTGCTTTGGCAAGTTGTTGGCTGGGGGATGGAATCGCTCACTCAGTGAATTATCCACTGCTAGACCTCTCCCCCTCCGCTGGTTCAGATTTGGGATTCTGATAGCATTCGTTCTGATAGCATCAGGCCGCGCATCCCAGCAGTTTTAAAGCCATGTGATTAGATGCAGCTAGCTTTCATCACCAACCCTCGACCTCAAGTAGGAGACACCTCGACCAGAGAGGTTTGGCACTGGATAGCTTTGAGTCGAGGTCAAGGATCAATGTGATGGTGAACTTCCTGACTGGATGAGGCTCGGACATATCGGAGATGAAAAAGATTGGCACATGGAAATGAGAGCACCAAGAAAAGGAAGACCAGAAACGATGTCAAATCCCTGCTTTCCTGGTATTGGTGCTGAATTTGATGTGGGTGCAGAAATTCTCCTCTCAGGACTGTCATTATGAATCAGATTGCGTGCTCATAGGCAAATGGTACAGCATGATTTTAGGGAGTTTGCTGCAATCAAGTTGACGAATGACGGATCGAATTCGAGGTGCTCAAGATGCGGTCCATGAGGCCATCGGCGGCGGATTTCAAGATGGCTTGTTAACTGTTAGATGTGTGATTTAAGCGGGGCTGGCCGGACCTTTCCTATGCACCGATGTGTTTTGAGCGAGCTGTCGCTAACAACCACATTTCTCAATGCCCTGCGACCCACATGTTCTTTGACATTTGCCCTTTGTCACAACCACTTCGATCTGGTAGACTCAACCTGAAGACAAGGGCTTGTTCAGGACTTAGGGGACTTTGAGGGCGATTTGTTCAACGTAACGTGCTTGCATGCGAGGCTACTACACTGCACCCGCCGCTTTTGGCTGATTCAGTTGAAAGCTGACTGCTGCTGTTGGGCCATTTTGTTGCACAGATGGCGCGTGGAGGATCCCAACTCTTGAGCATAGCCCTACTGAGCCTGCTGGCCCTTTGCGCCTGGGTGCCTGCATTCATCTCCAGCAAAGTGCAAGTCCCTGCAGCTGCGGCAGCTGCAGCTGCAGCTGCTGCCGTGCCATTGCCAGCCCTGGCGGGTGAGCCTCCAAGTGTTGGCATCCATTGGTACTGGGACCTGGGCATTGGAACACTCCACGGTGAGACCGCCAGCATTGTGATGATGGTCGTCTTCGTCACCGTCGTCTTTGCGCTGCTGGGCGCTGGCGGTTCTACCAGGAAGGCATGAGGCTGTGTTTGAGCTGTATGGGAAGGCCGCCAGCCTGGTGCTTTTTCATGTAAATCTATGTCAGCTGAAAGGATTCTCAAGGATTTCTCACTCAGCGCGCGGCGCATGTAGAAACGTAAAAAAGGGTTGACGTTAAGTTTCGAGCAGTTGCGATTGGTATCATGCGTGGACAGATGTGCTTTTGGACGATGTTTCGAGCAATTGGGCAGTGGTGCTTTTGACGGCTTGCTGCTTCCCTTTGGAATGGGCGGACTCTCAAGGATAGACAGATATACAAATCACCTACAGCCCAGGTTGCATCACAGAAAGGGTTTGGCGTTCATATGGGGTTTAGAGACAACTGCCAGTAGCTGGGTGATATCAAGGTGGGCCCACCTTGTGCTACAGAGTCGCCAGAGTCCGAAGCAAACCTGCGGTACTGATTGAACATGTGGACAGCACGTGCACAAACACAGATATATTGATATAGACACACCCACACCACACCCGCGCAAGCACACTTGGAACCGCACACACACACACACATACACTGTAACGCACCACATTGGATGGATGAACTTGCACTACTTGCTCATTAGGTACTGAGACCTCCCCTGACATTTGGTTCAATCAGTTCTTCTACCGGCCGACTCAGGGCCGAAACTGGCCGACCGTTGCACAGATGGCGCGTGGAGGATCCCAACTCTTGAGCATAGCCCTACTGAGCCTGCTGGCCCTTTGCGCCTGGGTGCCTGCATTCATCTCCAGCAAAGTGCAAGTCCCTGCAGCTGCGGCAGCTGCAGCTGCAGCTGCTGCCGTGCCATTGCCAGCCCTGGCGGGTGAGCCTCCAAGCGTTGGCATCCATTGGTACTGGGACCTGGGCATTGGAACACTCCACGGTGAGACCGCCAGCATTGTGATGATGGTCGTCTTCGTCACCGTCGCCTTTGCGCTGCTGGGCGCTGGCGGTTCTACCAGGAAGGCATGAGTACCACTGAGTCTGAGTCATTTGCAGCTTTCTTCTAGCTCACTCGCACCGAGTTAGCTCAAAAAGTCACCGACTGTGGGGCCGGACTTGTGTAATGGTCAGCCGACACTGCCAAGACGCAACGAAAAAGCACAATAAAGCACAACCGGCCTTTCAACTTTCCATTTAGAAAGCACACATGCACTTGCTGCGTCCAGGTGAAGCTTCACAAGTCCTCGATGCCAAAGGCGGAGCATCGCTAGGATTGGAGGTGCGCAAAGCAACCAAGGACATGATGGAGGTGTTTTCAATGAAGGGGATGTTTGTTTTAGAGGCTACTTATATTATATATATACTGTATTTCCATTTCATTTGCATCTCCATAGTAGCTGCACAGTAGCCACACACATACATACACAAAGTACATCAAAGTACCGTCACTGCAACGTTTGGTCCCTTCAGCGGTGGTGCACTGGGGTCGTCAACAAAACGCAGCGGTGGTGTCGTCATTGATCTGGCACGCGATCAACCAAACAACTCGATCGTGTTCCATGTACAAGAATTCAGGCAAGGTCACCAGGTCCATAGTTGAGAGTGCCATGGTTGCTCAGAAGGTCACACGCCACCAGCTTTTTTCCACCCCGGGAAATCCAACCCCTTCATGCCTGAAAGCATAAGCTGCACGTTTTTTTGAAGTCAACTTGAGGGGTGGCAGACTCTGGCAGATGAAGAGCGTCCAACCTCCAATGTACTGCATGCTGACATGATCAGGTTTCCCGAAAAATCTAGGAACCAAGTCATTCAGGTTCAGGCTTCTTCAAGGAAGCTCCCCCTGCCCTCCGCGGGGAGCGGGCACCCAAGAAGCTACAAGGTATATTTTGCCTTAGTTTTCCTACTTAGTAGCTACTACCTATTCTACCCCCTCGCAAAGAAGACACGTGTTCGAGACCCGCGCACCTCGCTCGAGACCCGACCCAGGCTCTGCTGACACCCAGCATTTGTTCACAGCTGCGGCATAAGCCTCAACGAAGAGCAAGAGATCATTCTGAATTTCCAACTTCAGATACAGTGGACAAACTTTTTGGACACTGACAAATCGTGGGATAAAGATGGATTAAGCGGAGTATGGACCTTTTTGTAAGAATGCAATGAAGGCTTTGCAGGTGAGGTTTTGAGGCTTCAATGCAGTGGAATGCATGCGTCATAGTGGTCAACGTACTGTCTTTTCTGACATTTGTGCTTTTGCTTTGGCCCAAGTTCTTCAAGAGCTCAGACTACGCTTTGTGGAAGATGGCGCGTGGAGGATCCCAACTCTTGAGCATAGCCCTACTGAGCCTGCTGGCCCTTTGCGCTTGGGTGCCTGCATTCATCTCCAGCAAAGTGCAAGTCCCTGCAGCTGCGGCAGCTGCAGCTGCGGCTGCTGCCGTGCCATTGCCAGCCCTGGCGGGTGAGCCTCCAAGTGTTGGCATCCATTGGTACTGGGACCTGGGCATTGGAACACTCCACGGTGAGACCGCCAGCATTGTGATGATGGTCGTCTTCGTCACCGTCGTCTTTGCGCTGCTGGGCGCTGGCGGTTCTACCAGGAAGGCATAAGCGCTGCCAAGTCTGAGTCTGATAATCTCGCCGCTGCCCGCTTTTTCACGTGACCTGAAGGAGGTCAGCTGCGAGCACCAAAACCGTCAGCTGACGAGTTGCGATTCTTGCGGCATCTTGCGTTTTGAGTTGCTCTCTTTTTGCACTTGAGTCCATGTTGCAGGGCTTTGTCAGCATCAGAAGAATTTGGTTTGGTTCCTGCAGCTGTTGATCTCTGCTGATGTGTCATGCAGATGGGATGGAGTGATCCAGATGTAAGCTGCATCTTAGCATCAAAGACAACGTGTTGGATGTCCAAGCTCTTGGACGCAGAGTCAGGTTTATCAATGCGCTCTCAGTCCTGGTGGGGGAACCACCCTCGACACAGCCTGATCAGCTCAAAGATCGTCAAGCAACCACCCTACAAAATGGACTCACTGTGAGGGTACAGACGTGCTTCAATAGACATATATGCAACATAAATACGTGTCTGTATAAGGTTTGTCAATATGTATATATATATATATATACAACTCCTTTTGGGGGGTCGCCAAGAAGTTGGTTTGGCATTTCTTACCTTTGTGTTCTCGTTTTCTTTGCTTTCTGGCCCGGCCCCGCCTTTGAATGGATGAGAGCCATGAGTCCTTGCTCCGTGCCGACAGCAACGGTGGCAGCGACACCGGCGAGAGCAGCGAGGCCCAGGACAGTGATGCCGATGCTGGCAGCTGCAGGATTTGCAAGGCGTGGGGCCTGTCCAAAGGCAGACAGATATGTGGGAGATGGACAATTTGGGAGCTTTTGACAGGGACGCAGGTCGGTGCACTGTTGCTCGCACTGCTGCTCCTGTGCCTGGCTGCCGCGGCGACCGCGTTCCGGGCGCCCCTGGCGGCCTACCTGGCCCGCCGCGGTGGGGAAGCTCAGTGCCGGAGTGCAAGCAGGGTGTTTTCGGAGGATCCCGAGGATCCCTGATGTATCCTTAACATAGAAAAGCAAGGATGCAGCGTGTCTCCTTCTTTTGGACACTCAGGGCTGAAACCCAAAACTCCACATCACAGATTTTCGTGAATTACGGTGATGGGTGGCGAACTCCCTGGCTTTTCGGCTCAAGTTGGTGCAGACCATCAACCCACGCGATCACTGTACTTGGGACTTGGGAAAGTCCACAGCTCACTAGTGGTGACTTGCCAGCTTTTGCATGCTTTCGCGCTTTGGAGTGTTGTGTGCAACCTACTTTCGCTTGTGAGGGCCATCATGGAGGGCCAACCGGTAATTGAGCGGTAGTTTGGTTGTGGGAGCTCTTTTCTTCCGACCTCTACGAACCTCCCACCGACCCGAACCACATTGGTATATATAGTAGACTCAGACTATACTACGGTAGACTATGCTTATTTCTGGGGCGGGTCACTCCTCCATCAAAAACAGTTCTGTGGAGTGACACAGAGATGGGTGACCGGCCGCATGAGGACGCCCCGAATCGAACGGAACTCACCGCGGAGAGGTATGCTTTCCACCATGAAGTTGATGTGGGTATGCAGTTAGATAGGGAGACCTCCGAGTTCAACCCCCTGGAAGAAAGTATACCGTCTAACCCAATGGACCCCCCTATACTCCCTATTATTCATATACACGCACACTGTATGTGTTTCTACTACCCATCTCTGTGAAGTGATGGGTGCCTTCTGAGTCTTTCTTGGCATCATTTGCACTTGACTTTGGACCTTTTGCCCGCTTTTGACTGAGGCTTATTCACGACTTCCCGAACTCACCATTGATTTCGCACTATGATCGAAACTCTTCATATGATTATTGAGGTCTTGGCTACGGCCAAGGTGGAGATGGGTGTTTTTCTCTTGGCCGCTTGTATCCACTTCGTGCTCTTCAGCAACTACGCCCCAGCAGCTCGCGCCTCGCTGCTGGGTGAGAAGTCGTCCCCAAAGCTCGCTGCGGCCGGCGCCACGGGCGGCGCCACGCGACGGGCGTCGGCCTCGAGCACCGGAAATTCCATGGCACAGGCGCTCAAGGACGGAGGGAGAGATGGGGAGAGCCAACACAGAGCAGCCAGAAGAGTTTTTTCCCCAAGCAGTGTGGACACACTGCTTGGGGTTCTTACGGTAGGTGTAAAGCAGCTGATGGGATATATAACTTTTGTCACAAGTCTTCTGAGAGCTGCGGTCCGTTGGCAGACTAGCAACCAGCTGGAAGAATCTCCTCCAAACCGGCGGATGTTAGTCCTGCGATAGCTTGGTTCTTTGTGTAGAGATGACTATGGCTCCATCAAGAGCCTCCGCGTGGATCGTTTTGGAGGAGCCCTTGCGAGCGAAGAAGGCTGAGAAGCAGTGGACCCACGAAGAGCTACAGCGCTTGCTGGACTTCCATCATGTGCCGGAGGAGGAGACGGAAGCGGCGTCAACAAATAGACCGGTGCTTCTAGATTTTCTTGGATGGAACTTCCTTTGGCCGTAGGACCTGACATGGTCCCCAAAGGGTGTTTTCCCTACACGAACCTCTGATTTTGGAGTTCTGTGCTCACCTTCTTAGGGAACATAGTGTTGAACATGCTAGTAAAGTCAATCAAATTTAAAGACTCTTTCATGATAGAGTCACTCACAGTCAGGACGTGCAAGCGGTTCTGGCCTTTGCCTTGGAAGGCCTGCAGAGAGTGTCGTCCGACAACAAACGCCCTGAGAGCATAAATTCAGACAGACAGTGAACGTTTCAGACTAAATGCAAAATCATTTGCCAAAGGGTGTGTGCCAGCGTGCCGCCCGTTTTTTGTCCTGTGTCGTGCACAGAGCCCGACTTGGTCCAGCAACAAGCAAGAGTGAAATACAGCTTATGACCCAGTGACGGGCCAATGCATGTGCCAAATCCCATCGGCCGCCTCTGCTATATAGATTCTGGCTCACCGGCTCACCAAGACCTGAAATTTACTCAGAATTTTTGAATAAACATATGGAGATCAATCTGATCTCCCACCTCGATCGAGCAACCAAGAGCATATGTCATATCGACAGGTGGGTCAAGTGCGGCGAAGCACGTGCTCCAAAGTGTTGGAACTGCCGTTTTGTCTCGAGTCTCGTGTTCCGCTCATCGTTCCGAACGGTGTGTGTTCTTCTCCTGCGGTACGGCTTCCAACTGGGTCCAGCCGCATTATTTACCTGGAGTTTGAGCTGAGAGCCCGTGAAGGTCACGACATTTGTCAACCTCAATGCAACACCTGGCTCTAATCATCTAATCCTGAGTCGTGGTCCATATCGACAATAGCAAAATGATGTCGCCCAAGAAGTCTTGAGGGAATCAGAGCCAGGAGCTTTGGAGAGAGGTAGCGGGCGAAGTCTTCACGCAATTTTACCAGGAGTTCGAAGGGGTTCCAAGCATGTTCTTTCATTTTTTGATTCAGCCTATGCTTCTGGAGGCATAGGCCGCCTGGCCGCCAGCGAGGAGTTTCTCGCCGGACTTCGGTCGCTGGTGGGGCCTGTGACCAGCCCACAGCTCGCGGCCCAGCTCTTGCGAAACTACTGGGGTGCACAGGCAGGTTCATTTCAATTCGGGGAGGGGAGGAGTCGCCTGAGGTTAGAAAAGAAGTAAAGTAAAGTAGAGATTGTAAAAGTGTGTATCAGAGTGGATCAGATGTGAAGCTTCAACAGAAATGGTGTGTGGTAGGTGGGGGTAGGTGGGGGCATCCAGGCACCAGCTTGGATGGATGGTGTTGCACAAAGAGGACCGGCTGGTGCGGGCTGATGTTTCTCGTCAGGCCTACGCGAACTTTGAAAGCTTGCTCTTTGAGTTCTCGGAGTTCTGCCAGACACATGGTATCAAAATGCCACGTCAGGCAGGGCCACTCTGTCAGGTCTGCCCGGGGGCCCTCTGCCGGATCATGCGGGGGGGTCTGCCGCGTTCACACCTCACCTGTTCTTCGGTTGCCTCCGGTGTTGAAGAAGTCATTGGCTGTGCAGGTCCAACAACCCAACAACCATTGGTGAAGGGTCCAACAACCATCCAACAACCAAGGGTCCAACATGTAATTTTTTTCCTTGGCTGTCAGGTTGTTGTCATGGCTGTGCAGTTCGCCTCCGGCGACTCTTGGCCCGACTTCACCAGTCACCTGCGGAGGCTAAACGAAAACGGCGAGGGCGGAAGCAAGAACAGCTGAAGTGAGGACATGAAGGAGGTTCCACCCACTGCAGTGCAGGCACTAGCGATGGCGGCCTCCATCCTATTAGCGATGGCCTCCAACCTACTAGCGATGGCGGCCTCCATCCTATTAGCGATGGCCTCCAACCTACTAGCGATGGCCTCCATCCTACTAGCGATGGCCTCCAACCTAGTAGCGATGGCCTCCAACCTACTAGCGATGGCCTCCAACCTACTAGCGATGGCCAACCATCTCCAACCTACTACAGCGATGGCCTCCAACCTACTAGCGTTGGCCTCCAACCTAATAGCCATGGCCTCCATCCTGATAGCGATGGCCTCCAACCTAGGTGCGATGGCCTCCAACCCACTAGCGTTGGCCTCCATCCTAATAGCGGTGTCCTCCCAAGATGATTGCGGATGCGGAGCAAAGAACGTTTCAGCCCGACTTCGAACACGCGCCCAGGATGAACTGGAGACGGCGGACACGATTCCGAAGCGATCTGCGTGGTCGAAACCCACGTGGACCAAATTGGAGACGCTGGGTGAAAGATCGACAGGTGACAGGTGCTTAGCAAGGAATTAGGGAATGGATCCCAGGAAATCTATCGCGGTTCATTCCCTCATTCCCGACTTATTCAGCACCTGCGAGTCAGAAGACTGGTGCCCAGTCTGAGGCTGATTCGGAAGTTTCTGGTGTCAGTGCTTCGAGTTTCTTCCATGGTATTGTAGCAATAGTCAGCAATAGTCGCTCCTTTGAATGCCCTTGGTTTTCACAACAAGCAGCTGGCAGCTTCTCTATCGTTCCAGCTGTTTTTAGTGCCGAGTTCTCTTCGGAATCGGTTGTTATGTCATGATGTAATGTCCAGGAAGATCATGATGGAGTTTGTGCCGACGCTAGATGACGATGCGGCGAAGTATGTCTCCTTCCACCGCATTTTGGACACTCGAAGTGGACGAGATCTAGCAGTTCTTGCTTCAAAAAGCAACTTCAGATTCAAAACAAATAGCATCAACAAGACACACATACAGTAGGACTTTGTTTTGGCGCCAACGGCTTTATGCACCCCCACGTTCTTATTTGTTTCTTTAGGACCATCTACTGATGTCAACGGTTTCTTTATGTGACCCACAGCGGTCATGTGACGTTCTTCTTAACCCGCGGGTGGGGCCGCGGGTTGGGTGACGTAACCCGTTGGATCATTCACGTCAACTTATTTAGTCTTCGTTTTATGAAGTTCATCTATGTTTATCTTCATGTTCGTTTCATGCCCTTCATCTTCATCTGCGGCTCAGTCTCACGAAGCACATGTGCATGTCGGAGGGGAGGTGCATGATTTTGTTGGAAGTTCATCTTTATTATTGTTTTATCAACTTCATGTTCACATCCCCGTTCATGCAGCATTTTTGTTTTCTCACTTTTCATCTTCGCCCCATGAGCCCAAAAGGTGGTTCCGAAGAAATGCCGAAAGCAGTGAGACACTTGTGCGTCAAGAAGGTCCGCTTCAAAAAGTTGTGCCGGCCCCAAATCCATTAACTTTGTTTTCTGCTGTTTGATGGGGCCAAGTGGGCATTTCAGCCACTTCCATCACTTCCGTCCCAGTGTTTCATTGCTACCTCCAAGCCCATCTGGGTCAGACCCATGTCTTTCACAGGATGGAATTGTAAAGCGCGATGCCAGCCCATCTAGCCGATGCTGGGACACGGTGCAGCTGATGGAGCAAGCAGGCTTGGTGCCTAACAACGTCACCTGTTCCATCTTGCTGAAGACGG